CAGTGAGGAAAACTCACCTCACAAACTGAACATAAACTAATAAGGTCCCGACTCCGTATCTTAGCTCTCTAACCGACACCTATTCCCATTAATGACCATTTTCCATCAAAATCCCCAAACACCCTCAATGTCAAACTTAGTTAAAGTCAACTAGTCAAACTAACTAGGTCAACTGAGTCAACCCAACAGGGTCAACTCAACAAAGTTAACCCAGGATGCGTACGCGGGGCGTACTCTTCAGGTACGTTGGGTGTACACAAAGCCTCGTAGGTTGACCACCATCCGGGTGGTTAACCTCGGACATGAGGTGTACCCTCGCAAGGCCTAAAATTCCATTAAGAGCTTAATGGTTTAATCTCTTACATCCAAAATTTATATCCATGGCTAAAATCCTCATAGGAATCATAAAGTCTCCAAATTTATGTCCTAGCATGTCCAATAAGTTCTTAACACAAAGTCTTATTCCATTAAGATTTTCTAAAAGATGCATGGAGTAAAACTAACCATTGGGACTTCATTTTTATGACTTAGGACCCTTTTAAGGGGATGAAAGGACAACTTAAAACGTCAAGAACATGCCATGCTCAAGATATAACATTTTGGGACCAAAAAGCATCACTAAAACCCCAATTTCTAGATCGATATGATTGAAAGATAAAGTTGCAAGCTTTTTATATTAGAATGGTTGAAAATGAAGAAGAAGTCCCAGATCCAAAGTGCTTCACTCTTCCAAGATGAGCTTGGCTTTCTTCCTTCTTCTTCTAAACAGACAAATACACACTTTTAGGCTAGAAATGGCTTCTCAAGGTGAACTAGGGTTGCAAAACGTCTCAAGAGGTATGGAGGCTAACGAGGTGAGCGGAAATGAGGTTATAAGGATTCTTATACGTGATCTAAACCATAAAAACTAAGGTTTCTAAATCTAGAAAGTATGCCTCGCGTACACTAATGTACGCCCAACGTACTAGGGCGCACCTTAGTAAGCTAAGCATACGCACATATGCATGGCGTACTCCCATTCCTCTCAAATTACAAAAATGCCACTAGTGTTTCCAATGAACACTTTCTTCTACTCATGGACTGAAATGCAATATAATTAAATTATAGGGTTGAAATTAGAAGTAACTCACAAAACTGATTTACCGAACGACAACTACTCACTCTAGACTATGAATGGCAATCCATACTACGTTTCATACTTCCTCGTATTTGTCTCAAGGATCATCACAACTGCGCAAAAAATACAACAAGGATACACGCACATCCTAGCATCAGTGGCTAATCGTGCCTCATCTGTTGGCTGCTTACATATATACTCATGCATGAAACTTCCACCAACCCTGCAACACTCGCGTATGTTAATCATACATAGCATTGGATCCTATAGACATTCGTGTGCACAATTAGACCTTCGCTTTTCCATGATTCTCAGAAGTACCTAAAACAATAAACTAAAACTGTAAGCCAAAGCTTAGTGAGTTGCCCCAAAGTACCAACAAACTACATAACAAACAAAGCATGCAAATATGAGCCTTCAACCTAACTGGACTGCCTCGCAGGGCATACAACCTATCAGGACCGCTCTACGAGCCTTCGGTATGACTGGACCGCCTCGTATGGCCTACGACCTGTTGGGATCGCTCTTAAGGCCTTCAGTATGACTGGACTGCCTCGTAGGGCCTACAATATATATGGACCTTCACGGATGTCTTGGCCGTCAACACAAAGCAGGACCGCCTCAACCCAACCACAATACGTCGCCATATGTAACATATAAACATAAACAGAGAACCAACAAATACAGTTAATCATACAAATCTACAAATCAACCTATACTAGCATACTACTATCCTATAACCATGATACACAATCTAGTGGGCCGAAATTGGTGCCTTCGACCCACGGGTACAGTGAGGAAAACTCACCTCTTAGTCTGAACAAAAGGTTAATTAATCTCTACCCCGACAACTGGCTCTACTCGACACCTATTATCCCAAAATATTGCACAAGTTAAATTAATACCAAATTACCCAAAATTTCCTTTAGATCAAAATAGGTCAAACTCCACAAACTAGCCGAGTCAACCCAGCCGAGTATGTTGCGCGTACACATCTGTACGCGGGGCATACTCGATCGTGACCAACAACGCGACCCTAACCGCATACGCGATGTGTACCATCTGGTGGGTCAAGCATATGCAACTGAAAGCTTCTCAACCCATTAAGTTCTTAATACTTAAGCTTTCTCGTCCAAATTATAAATCCAAGTCCCAACTGTTGTCCTTGACCAGAAAGTTTCCAACTTTATGGTCTTGCATGGCCATTAAGTGCTTAACACTAAAAACCCAACATCTTAAGCCATTAAGACCATCAAATTCATGTATGAGGAAGAACTAAGAGTTAAGGACACTTTTTTATTACTCTATGCGTAGAAAAACGTCCAAAAGGACAACCCATTTGCTCTATGGCATGCCATGCACAAAAGGTCATATTTTGGGGACAAAAGTTCATAATATCATCATATACACAAGATCTAACAAGTTAATCACCAAGGTATGAACTTTATACCTTCTGGAGATTGAGGATGATATAAGACTTCCAGATCCAAGCTTGCTTCTAGCTTCCAAGCTTCACCACCACCTTCTTATTCCTTTGAAACTTACAAAAACACACTCTTAGGCTTCAAAATGCAACATTGGAGCTAGGTTTGCATGGGGGTCGAAATAAGGCTGGAGGCTGATAGATGAAAGGAGCCTTGAGAGTTAAGGATGAATAAATAGTACACAAATCCTAAATATTATGGTTTTTAGGTCCAGGCTGTATACGCCCCGCATACGCTCGGGTACGCCCAGCGTACACATGCAACTCCAAAAATTAGAAAAATGCCATTTAGGACCAATTTGAAAATAATTCTCATACAAATGGTGAAAATGCAAATTCCTGGAAATTGAGATGTTACAATTTTGAAAATGAAGAGCTACATCGACAAACTTTAGAGACTAGGATCTCCCATGATACAAAATTGATAGTCATGTTAATATGAACAATTTGCCGAAGTCAAATGACCACTTTATTTCAAACTTTAATACAAACGATAAGAGAAGTCAATATTGAAGTTACATTTAATGCTTAAAACTGTCGAGAAGAACATTCCTAATCCCTCCTAGGTGCTAATGATTATGGAATGTCAAGTAAAGAAAAAAAATATCATATAAAGGGAAGAGGCAAAGGCAACAGAGTTGTTGCTCCAACCAAAATAAAAACACTCTACAAAGGATATTGATTGTTACTGTTATTATGAGAAATGACATTGAATGATGAAATGTATTTTACATTTTTCAAGAAAATTTATTGGTGTCAGCTATTTGTTTTAGAACTGGCATAAATTTTTATTAAACCACTACCTAAAAGAAGAAGGTAGGGAAGGAACAAAGAGCAAGTCACATAATGTTGAAGGGGGAACAACACCAATCCTCCCATTTACACACACCAAAATTACCCTTATGTTTAACCAAATCGAAAACTATGGTAAAAACATTATCTGCCAAATTGTTAGATGAAATCTGAACGCAATTAAACCTCATCGAGTCTCTCGCTTTCCACATACACCAAATAAAACCGTAACATAAAGCAATTACAATTTTTTTTTCGAACACCCCCCCCCCCCCCCCAAGATGTTGCAAACTTAACAAGATCACAAACCGTGTCAACGGAAGGGATTTGAATACTACACCGACTGAAAATCCACCTCAAAGCATCCCGAACTATTGACGTATGTTATGTGTAGGAAAGAAAAAGAATAAATGGAATATGACGATGAACTGGAAGCTACCAATTAGATTGTTGAGGTTATCACTTAATTGAGAATTAAATTTCCGGTTTCCAATGTTTGACATTTTTTTTTTGTTCAAAACCAATGTTAATGTGGATACAAATTTGATTTCTTTGATTCAAGTAAGACTATAATTATATAAGTCTACAACATGATAATAGTTGTGACATAAAGTTCAGACATATAAATTTATACGGCTTAAAATGTTATAAAAAATATATTTATACAGTTTCAAGTGAAAATTATCAAAATTGGACAAATGATGTTCGATTTAAAACAAAAAAACAGAGTATAAAAATTAAACTTAGTGTCAAAATAGAAAAAAAGTGAAAAATTAGTGTCTTTTATGGAAAAAAAATTTCAATTTTGACACGTCAGTATATAATGTCACAAAACTTACATGTTATCATGCAACGTCAGTATGTAACCAGGTTGACCGATCAAGTAGTTAGAATCGTAAAAAATTAGAAAACACAGTGTCAAATTAGAACTTTAGTGTAAACTTAGTTTCGTTGTGCTGTTTACCCTAATATTTATAAACTTCATATTTATATATGAATGATTAAGAATTCTTTTCAGTTGTAGAAAGAAATGTACAGAACTTGGATCTAATGTTGTTTAGTCGACTGACTAGTCGGCACCTAAACGCTTGACGGACAGTAAATGAGTAAGATTTTTGGAAATTACCCAAATGGTCGGTTTCAGTCAAACTCGATGAAAAATCAATGAAAATCGGCCTAGATGGCAAGAATCGGTCAAACATGGTCAAAATTGGCCAAAATATTAAACTTGTCAAAAAAAAAAAAATCAAAATTAATAAAATAGTAACCTTAATTATTTATTCCAATCTTAGCTTAGAAAGTTTTGCCGGAAAAAAAAGTTTGATGGACCTCTCTCATCAACCATATTACCATTCAACCATTAAACATTTAACTATTTTCAGTATTTTGTTTCAGGGGAGCTATACACTATAAAGTCTGAAACTTAAATTATCTGTATTATCATTTATCCAAACAATATTTATCTCAGACATCACTAGATGAAAAAAAAAAAAAAAAAAAACAACAACAGAGCTAAGATGATATAAATCAACCTCATATATGCACAAATGGCATAAAATTTACAATAACCACATACCTTGAACATAATCAATCATAAACTCAAAACTTTCAAAAAATTATTTGCTCTCCAAGTTCTTGCCCAGCCATCCCTTCTTCAAGCACCCTTTTAAAGAAATCTTCCAATGTATCTTCCCCATAACTCGGTGTTTCCTCAGCCTTGTATTCCTTAGTTTCAGGATCATAAACCAACATACTTTCAGCTGCATAATACCTCCCTATCTTCCCAAATTCCGCTACATCTTCCATTGAAGGAAATATCTTCACAAGAAAATCAAGAACCCCAATAGCAAAATCCATAATCTCAATTGGGACTTTAATAAAATTAGGTTTCTTTCCCGCGAGTTTAAACAACATCTCCCCTTGCTCCAATGGCGTCAACGCCTTCCCAGGTCCACCAATCGGCAAAATCTGGTTAATTTTATCAGTACTTAACATACAATCTGCTATAAACGAAGCCAAATCTGGCTCGCTAATCGGCTTACAAGCACATAATTTCCCATCGCCAAACATCACATATGGCTTCCCGTCTTTCACAAGCTCGACCTGCCCTCCTAAACTCTTGAAGAAAGCTGTTGGCCGAACAATGCTGTAACTAAAATCATCATCGTTTTCAGCCTCTTTGATCAATTCCGATTCGAATTTTAACTTTGCGCGTTGGAATTCGAGAAGGGGTTTTTGTACACAGATTGCAGATAACAGAACAAAATGTTTAGCCCCAAAAGTCCTACCGGCTAAAAGACTGTTCTTGGTGGCTTCGTAATCAATTTTCCATGAATCTTTAACACCTCCAGATCGACTAGCGAGACAAGATACGACAACATCAATCGAAACCCCCAAATTTTGTAGACTTTGCTGTAAGCTATCCAATTGGGTAACATCTGAAAAGCAAACATTAGCTCCATTTAACTTGCTCAAGGTTTCCTCTTTGCTATTCTTACCTTTGATTCCACTTTTTTCTCTGCAAACTGCAATCACATTGAACCCTCTGTTAACCAGTTCTTTAACCACAAAATTTCCGATATACCCAGTTGAACCCACGACTAACACATTGATGTCTTTGGGGGGTTTGTCTCGAAATGAAGATTTAGGAGGTGATTCAAGAGCTGTGGGAGTTGAAGCAGTTGCAACGATGTGTCTTTTTGTATTGAACACGGAGGTTTTGGATAGATGTGAAGGAAGAAATGAAAATGGTGATGAATTAACTTGAATTTTATTTGGGTAATGAGAAGATAGAAGATTCTTGAAGGTTGAAGATGAAGAACTGAGTGTGATACCGTAGAAGGAGGCACAAGTGGACATGGTTAAATTTCAAGGTTGATGAATGCAAGATGCAGGAGTGATGGAAATGAATAGGGATTTTTGGAGGAAACATTTTCCTTTTATCCATTTTGGCTTTTCCTATCAAAAACGAATCCAAATGATTGGTTGGCATTTAGTCTTGTATTGAATTCTCCCACGAAAGGCCCGTTTTAATAGCCCACCGAGCCCTCTCTTCTCTAAAACTCTTGCATATTATTGTTTTCTCCTTTTAAGAATAAAATAACGTCATCGACATAGAAAAAACTTATGAGCACCACACTTTAAAATTGCTATAATTTGAGAAAATTCTCAAAATACAAGATTGTAAAACCTAAAACATATTTTCTTTAACAAAAAATTATACCATCAACCTCACCCAAAATCTATTGCTTAGTTAATCATAATTCATACCACAAGTGACAAGTTGTTGGGTTATAAACTTAAACGCAAGTACGTATGCATTCATTATATATGAAAAAGAAACCAAACATGTGTACAAATGAATAAAACCAGTTAAATAGTCATTTAACTGGGACTATAAATCAATCAATCCACACACAACACAAGTGAAGTGGAGAAAGAATTACATCAAATTTAACAATTAAAAACACCAATTTATGGTGAATGTCTTCATTAAATTAGTGCAACAAATGAAGAACCAGTTTTGATGATTTCCACTTTGCCACAATCATTCATTTTCATTCTTGAGGAAGAACAGGAGGGGAAATGGTGCGAGTATTATAAGAATTGCAATGCAAACATTTCTGCCCCATTATGTGGAACAAAACTTCTGAAGTGTCATTGCAGTCATTACATAAGATCCAAACCTGCAATTTTCACATTTCTCCATTCACTTCTACTGTTTCAATCTCTTATTCAAAATTCAAGAAACTCATAATATGATACCTTCTTTTGTCTGTAATCTTCAGGCATCACTGTAGCTTCAATCTGAGAAACACAAAACAAACCAACTTATAAAAACGAAAGATGATCAAGAATTTGTTGTTTAAAATTAAATTTTCACAATCATAGATTCAATAGCTGCACCTCTTCATCTAGTCTCTTCCACATCACAGACATATCCATTACTGATTTTGAGCATATGGGACAAGAGTATCTGTAACAAAAACCAATGAAATTTAGCTAAAGTTTCACAAGATTTGGAAATGAACTAATCCAAGAGACGTTTAGACTTTAGATTGACTTACTTATTACGCTTAATCATCTCGTTACAGCATTCTGAGTGCATTGTGTGCCCACATTTCATTACAGTTGTGTCTTTTAGCGAGTCAAATAGGTACTGTAAATGGGAGTGTTAAAACTTGCAAGTTTTTTCAGAAACTAATAATGGTGACAAATAGACATAAAGGGGGAATGAAAAGGGAAAAACCTCATAACATATAGGACAGTGATGCCGCATTGAGTTTTCAACACATGAATGATTGTTCAGTAGACTTAGAGAATAACAAGATCCTGAGAATCCATAGAAACCAGTAAAATAACAACAGTGAATAATGAATTGATTGAATCCTATTACAGAAGTACAAGGCACTGATAAAGTGATAATGATGCATACCACACTTCTTGCAATGAAAGTATTTCTCACGACCACCAACTCTGGACAAAAGAAATGGTTTGGAAGGTGAATGAGAAATAAAGAAAAGATAAAATTAAATTGGAAAATATGTTAATAGGATGGATTCGAGAATGATATGATCTTCTTTCACATAGATCACTGACCTGCAGATACCGCATTCGTTGCAGTGAAACTGCCCCTTGTCAGTCTGCAATGAGAATATTATAATCAGAGAAATCGAGACTTATAGTGATTGAATTTGAGAAGGATGTATGAATCGACTTATAATTTGTACATCATCGTCATAGAATTTGCAAATTTCACAAAAGTATTCCCCCATATTGACTCCACAGTTTGTGCAGACTCGAGCAACCTGATAGACAATATAACAATCATAAATACATTAAAAACAGAGAAGAAAACTCACGCAATCGGTTTCAATTTAGGTCACTGAAATATACCGGCTGCTCGGTGTCACAAACCGAACATATAACCTGCAATAAACATGAATCTCGTCACAATATGAAGGCATACATAAAATTCATAAATATGCGAATTTCGAGTCCTGATTAAGCACTAATTAAGAGGAAACTTGAGGTCTGAAACGTACATGCTTCACATCATATCGAACAAGGTCATGCCGATCGGATGGGCTGTTCAGCATGTTCTGTATAAGTAAACGCAATATAATTAGGAATTATCCAAGCAATATACAGAAGATCTAAGAAGCTTAACTGATTTAAGTACAACAGGATTAGGTCAGAAACGATGAACGCAATTAATAACTCGATTAACGACATTACTCGGGGATGAACAACAATCGAATTGAACGGAAAGCTGAAAGAAGAGAGAGAGAGAGAGAGAGAGAGAGAGATGGAATTAGTACCGTAGCCTCGTTGTGACAATGACGACAACCAAAAATCTCGTTGCAACAGGGAGCACGAATCATACATCGTCTTCGATAGTGCTTGCATCTAACAAAATCAATACATTGAAGAACTTAATCAGTGGAATCAACATTTGAAGTATATTATAAGCAGGAAGAAAGAGCATCGAGAGTATACCCATAACCCATCTTCCCATAATCCAGGCGTTCCATTGGGAAGTAGAGATTGGATTTGCGAAGATGGTGATTTATTACCGCATCTTCCAAATCTTCACTCTTAATACACGCAAATTGCAACCAGTCCTTTATATTTCCATTTTTGGAAATATATTATTAAAATTATACTTTAATCAATTATAAAGCTCCAACTATTATCAAGTGGGTTTTTTTATGGTAAGTTATCGTTACTTTAATTCTTGACGAATGGCGAATTTATAATATATAAACTATATTGTAATTTTGAAAACAAAGTGTAACTGAAAGGTACATTTCATGTAATCGTAATCTTCCTTTTCAATAATTTGAAAAAATCACAAAATCATAATAAAGAATTTTATTACTTCTATTATTATTATATAAATACAATTATGATACTTCTATAATTTTCTAGTGGACTACATGAAAGAAACCATAATATATTTATAATTTTTTGTAATTATATTATCATAAAACAGACATAATAATAACCAAATATATAAGATGATTTTAATAAGACAAAATGTATAACTAAGTACTTGTTTCTAAATGAATGAAGTTCCAAAAAAAAAATCTGTGCCTTGCTATAATCGGAAAGGTGTGGTTCTTTGAAAAAAGTTGTGGCGTGAAGGAGACTGGATAAGAAGGCAATTGACTCAACGTGGGTCCCGCGCACCGCGTCACCAAGCCAATAAGATAAAAGCTGAAGTCAATGAACAATAGGTTATTTGGATTTTTTTATTTATTTTATTTTTTCTTTTCATATCCGATGGTTTCTATAATTTTTGTCGTTTAATGCATTTAATTGATGTAAAACGTTTTTTTTGTATAATACATGGGTCTTTAATATTGTATGTTAGATATCAGACAATAAGTAATTAGGAATGAACATGGTTGAAGTCGTTTTGCATAAAATTAAAACAAAACCGGAAGCACTAATACTTAACAATTTTAGACTTTAAATTTAAGTTCAATATTTATTTTAGAATATGATTTACAGCAAAAGTATTAGTGTAACATATACACTTGCATATTATGATTTAATGCATATGTACAAAAAATTTAGAACATAGAAGCATGATTTTTGGCCAAATTAATTCATTTTTTTGTGTTACATGTTACAACATATCACAATGAAATCGTCTACTAAAACCCGGGACATGTAAATCAATTATCGGTTGAGCCCACATTCAAAGCCCATTTCTAGTACTATAAAAGGAAACTTTTGTATTCTACGTGAATATTTTGAGGTGAGAAATTGGTAGTTTGACCACAAGACAACACCATCGAACAAAGTAAAAAACAGGCAGATTTCTGGACATCCTTTCCAGGACAATCACAGGTGCAGTAAAGGTAATGTACAATTGTTATGGTGGTACTATCTATGAATATGATGGTAAGGTTTAAGGTTATGTAACATATCTATGGATATTTCATATTGATGGAGCACCGTAGGTAGGATCAGGACCAATGTATTCTTTCAAAGTATATATAATCACTAGGCGAATACTATACTCTCACGTTACACATAATTACAAATATATAATTGAAATCTTTACAAATATATGTTTTTAAAAGATAACAATGACTTTACTAACTTTCATATAATAATTTTTATATTATGTTGATATAAATCACTACTTATTTTGGATTATACAATAATGTAGACATCTTTTAAAACTATATAATTTCACTCGTCTAAATGACATCTACGTAAGGGTTACTTATGAATAAAATTAAATATAATATATAGTTTAATAATATTTATACTAATTATAATTAATTAAATTTAAAAGAATTTATTCGCTTAACATTTTAATTTTTATCATTGCGATTATTTAAAACATCAAACATTTTTTTTTGTTTATATATGTAACAATATAATTTTTGTATATAATACTCATTTTCGTCCTAAATTATAGTTCATCTTTCCTTTTTTATTTGTCCCAAAATAATAGTCTATTTTTAATGATAAATAATATTTTTATCAAAATACTCCCTCATTATTAGTTAACCAACTAAGAATTTAATGAAACATTAAATGCAAAATAAGAACAAAACTGTCATTTTATTGTATAAAATTAGTGGTAATTAATGTTTCTTTAATTTGTGTGTTTTTTGTCTGTGAACAATAATTTTTGAACGGAGGGAGTAATACTTTTAGCTATTGCTGTTGTAAGTTATATTTAAGCTACTAATGTTGAAACTCCTAATTATTATAAAAATAGTTTTAGGATTTTTTTTTTAAAGTTAATTTGGGATTATAGTTTAGGTTTACAAAAATAGTTTTAGGATTTTTTAAGTTAATTTGGGATTATAGTTTAGGTTTTACAAATAACACTA